GTTCGCATTCCACAAACAGATGACACGTTGACGATATTGCCTTTGGATGCCAGCAAGTGTGGAACTGCCAGTTGAGTGAGTAGAAAAGTGCCACGAACATTTGTTGCAAAAATGGCGTCGTAATCCTCGATACGGGTAGTCTCAATTGAGCCCGGAACTCCAAAAGCAGCATTATTGATCAAAACATCCAAACGGCCATACTTTTTGATTGTTTCATTTATGATACGCTCCGAATCAATCGTAATATCTGCCAAAATCACTAACGGTTCAACCTCAACACCACTATCTCGAATTTTTGCAGCGACACTTTCGGCTCTCTCAGCATTTCGACCGACCAACGCTAGTAAAGCTCCTTGCTGTGCAAAATAGACTGCAGCAGCTGCGCCTATGCCCGAACTGGCTCCGGTGATTAGGACAATTTTTCCTTCAAAAGACATTTTTTTTTTTGCTTATTTCCGAATTATGTTCACTTTTTTTTAAGGAAAAAACCTTGGACTACTCGGAGTGAGAATGAGTAAGTTAAAAAATATTCTGAACTAGTCAAAGTAGCAAAACCAACTGATGAGCACCGTGCAAATAGATTTCGATTTAAAGCGCAATTTTTGTTGCCGTTCAATACGCAACTAAGCCAGTTGAGTGGGATGGCTACCGACAGCTCTTCCTCATTAAAGTAGTACACATGTTTGAATAGCGACGAACATTTGAACAGAGAGTGCACAATTGATTTCTGCTTCTACGACAATTCATGTTAATTACTTCATTTGAATAGTGAATGGTATCGAATTTCGTTTCGCTAAAGTCGCATAGCGTGACACAGCTCGAATGCACCGACATCGGTCTGATTTAAAAGAGATTCATTCAAAGAACAGTAATGCTGCGGTATGCAATGCTTTGTTTGTGGTTGTGTGCAGTTGAAATACTTTTTTTTTCATAAAATGTTCGTGAGAAAAAACAATGCATTGACCAGAAGTGTTCATATTTCATTCGGTTTGCTTAGCGTATAATCCATGCTTTTGAAAAATGTATACGTATACACGTAAGTAAATCGTAAGTATCTCTGATTCTAGCTGCCTGGTCAGTTGGCATGAAGGTCATCATTTTAATATGCACAGTGCAAACTGCACACACATATAAATCACATATGTCGCATCCGATTCAAAACAAAGCATTCGCTCAATTATTCATGGATACCTCAATCACAAAAGTACAAATGAAATCGATACGAGACGCGCGTTCAACAGTACAAACGAAATGAAACAGATGTTTTTATTGTTTGTTTGAATGCGATATGTAAAATCAATAGTTCTCATCCCAGTTTTATTCTTTTTACCATTTTGAATGGAATCCGCGTGTACTTTGTTTGTACTGCACATGCATATTTTTAATTTTCATTTTGAATACGCGAAGATTTATTCAACTGAAAGCAATAGAAGCCAAGTACCATTTTGAACACACGTCAATAGTGCAAGTTAGCAATTAGAACACAGATAACATAACATGACTTATGACCCCAACGATAGAAAAAAAAACACTACAGAATTTTGTAGCAGTGCGAGCGAAGCGCCGAACGAAAGAATTTCGAAGATGAAGTTCAAATTTTTTTCCCTACGTCGTCTCTATGTATGAGCCACAAAGAAAGCAATTTGCATGGGGCATAGAGTTGTAATGTGTCGAAGAGTAAAATCGACTTTTGGATGAATGACTCATGAGCAAATGATATGGACGGTGCGTTTGCACTTATCTGCTGTCGAGTTTCCGCAAATTTCATTTTTCTAATCAATAAATGATCACATTACGCGGTTTCTTTTTTACCTAAAGTTTTATCCATTTCAGTCATTGAATCACGTTCTATAAGTCGATTTCTTACTTTCAACGTGTCAAATATTCGTTCGTGTTCTCACGATTTTATTTTTGTTTGGGGAAACGAAGGAATTTTCGATTCAACTATTAAACTATATTATTGCTTGGTTGCTTACTATTGTGAATGATAATATAACCTTGATTCATGACTCGAATATAAAACTAATGTGACATTAGTGAAAAAAATCATTCTAAATTTATTTGGAAACTCATAAAATCTTCATTACATACAAATGTTCAAAAGTGAAATCTTAAGTGATTTTCCATGAAAGATTTTAAACATAGATCAACTACCAAATGGTTCTCGAAGAGTAGGGATTCATATCAATTGGAATAATAGACAAATTATTGGGGGCTGACATATACAGTATCAGCTATACATTGGATAGTTCTGTGGTTTGCCACGTAATGATAAACTAATTGCAAACCATGGCGCTAGTGTGCATGTTTATTTATCTGTAAACCCCCTGACAAATTACTTGATTTGAAATGAATTTTATTTATAGAAATTTACAATCATTTTGAGCATACAATACTTTGGATTGATAAATGAAAGTATTTAAACTGATTCTCAATTTTAAGGCGATGGCAATTTGATAGAATATTCATATTTGCTCAAATAGAGTGCAAGAGCAAGAAGCAAGTTTGCGAGCGTTATCGTTTGGCCTTTTAACAATGGTGTTGCCGTCTCCACTAGAGCGTCCAAATTGATGGGTGTTCTTTCAACTGATGCTGGAATTAATGCCAAGATGGGATCTCCATTAACACCGAGTATCCTGAATAGAGTCGCTGCAATTGTTTTCAATGTTGGTTTTTTTAATTCCAGCAATGGTGGCAATATCGTGGCTAGATTTAAAGATGTGCTGCCTGGAACTAATAATGTAACGAGATTCAGCAGTGACTTAAAAAGCGAGAGAAGAAAATTGTTGATGGCATTAAAAAATAATTTGAGAAGGAGATCGAGCAGCGTCTTGACTTCACTGAGCAGTTGACCAAATAAATTTGGAGTCAAAGCGCTCTTATTAGCTGCCACAGGCGTAGATCCAAATCCAACGGCAAAAATAAACGCGACAAGTATAGCTGTAGTGAACTTCATTTCTTTTCCTAGTTTATGTCGATTAAGTCAACTGATTGCTCACCTCAAGTGACTGCGCTATTTATACAATTGTTCTTTTACGCGATTCCTCTTTTTAGTGTTATGCACGATTTTCATGTAAATTCTATGAATCACGAAGAAAAATTTTATTATTTATAAAATAGTTGCAACCAATTTTGTATTCAAAGATATTTGAATATGAAACATATTCAACAGGGTGGTTAATATCATTTGCGGATAATGCAGTACTTGTTTATTTCAATAGCAGCTTAGCATTGCTAAGTGGTTAATACCTAATTCAAAATGTTCAAGAATACCTCGATATGATATTCAACTGGCTAACGGTCAATAAACTCACACTAACACCAAATACATGCTGTTCAAACTTGGAGTGCCTTGTGCACCTAATGCTTATTTCACTCTCAATATCTGCAATTAATGTTTTTTTGTCAAATTATGTATCATGTTTATTAGCGTTAGCTCCCTTAGTTACATTTGAGGCTGTGAGAATGAAAATGGCAATACAGGAATAAACATTCTGAA